ACCTTTTGCAGGAAAATACAACCCTACATCATGCATTTGCTTTAGATATCGTAGGAGTCTGTGAACTGCAGCCAAGTGAATACTAGTGGCCTTGCCCCTAAACTGACTCACAACTTGGACCGCATAAGCAATGTCAGGTCGCGTACGAGTCAAATAAATTAAACTCCCTACCATGCTTTTGTAAACCGATTGATCCTTCATCACTTCCCCCCCCCCCCCCCATCTCGGCTCAACTTTAAATTTTGTTTCATCGGAGTACAACATGGCACGCAATTTGTATACTGAGATGACTGTAAGAGATCAAGAATATATTTTCGCTGAAATAGGAAAATACCATGTGAAGAGCGTTTGACCTCTAATCCAAGGAAGTAAGAGACTTCACCCATCTCCTTCAAATTAAATGCTTTCCGCAACTCTGTCGTAACTGTGCGGATACCCTTGTCATCACTCACAGTAATAATCATTTCATCAACGTATATCAACAAGACTACCACACCATCCACTGTCTCGCGCGTAAACAGAGACGGGTCGTTGTGACTCTGAGTAAAGCCAGCCTGCAAGATTGTTCCATGGAACTTCTCGAACCAGGCACGTGGTGCCTGTTTTAAACCATACAAGGAACGATTTAGCTTACAGACCATTGTGGAATCACCTTTCGCATACCCAGGGGGCCGCTCCATATATACAGTCTCCTTCAGTTCACCATGGAGAAAAGAGTTCTTCACATCAAGTTGAAGAAGAGGCCACCCTTTCATTGCCGCTATGACAAACATGCAATGAACGGTTTGCATTTTAACTACAGGAGCAAATGTCTTCGCATAGTCAATGACATACTCATGTTTGAACCCTTGAGCGACGACTCGTGATTTAAATCTGTCCACAGACCCGTCAGGAAGCATCTTTATCGTGTAAACCCAGCGGCTACCAATGACTTGCATCCCTTCTTCACGAGGAACAAGATCCCAGGAATGTTGCTCTTTAAGAGTGTCCATCTCTACCTTCATTGCGGAATTCCACCGTGGATCAACATCTGCTTGTGAATAGCAAGTGGGGATGAAAATCGGAGTAGTGGAGAAACTCACAAAATCCTGCATTCTTGGCGTGGAACAAAGTTACCTATCCTAAGTAAGAAGGAAGATTGGGGTTGAGAGATCCGGAAGCTTGGAACAAGGCTTGCATGATCGAACATATATAGTTGATATTGATGCAGCAGGGGTTTATTTGGGTTGCATGGATTGACAAGTATAAATTAAAGGGTCGAGGGCTGCGGGATTATACTGGAAGTGTGAGGTCTGGTTCATGGAACTGGAGGAAGATTCTTAAACTTCGAGCTGATGTTAGTAATCTGTTTTCTGTAAGAGATGAGCTTGTTTAATTTGTTGGAACTCTGTGCCTATGCAGAGATACTCTATCAAACAGGTTTAGGAAGTCCTTAGACCAAAACAGCAGCGAGTGCCTTGAGCTAAACTAATATGGAAGGGTGTGGCAATACCAAAGAACAGAGTTCTTGCATGGCTGATCATAAGGGGGAACATTAACACCAAGGAAAAAATGAAAAAATGGGACTATGAAGGGTCTTTAGTGTGCTGTTTGTGTGATAATGATGAGGAAAGTAGAGACCATCTTTTCACTAAGTGTGCTTTTGCTCAGGAGTTGTTTGCACAATTGTTCAGCAGATTTACACAACATGTTCCAGGGGGCAGCTGGGAAAATGAAATAAATTGGGCAATCCAACATTTTAGTGGCAATGATGAGGCAGCAAAGACAGGTAGAATTATATGGCAGATGTGGTTGAGTTAGATTTGGAGGGAAAGATGCTCTCGACTATATGCAGGTAAGAGGAAGGGGGTGGCTAGCTTGCAAAAGGGTATCAAAGACGATGTGGAATGCATCTTGGGGTCCCATAGGGTTCACCGTTTCTGGGGGTTTAACATGTCTTTTTAGTGATGTCTATAGTTACAGTATGAGTACAGGAAAGTTGTAAGTTGGACTCCTTAATGTTTACTAAACCTAACTAGCAAGGTGTGTTGCTAGTAACTCTTTTGATGAATATAACCCACCGATTCATAAAAAAAAATAGTCGTTTAACAGGAAATTAGACAAGAGTATATTCGTTACATTTTAATATTATAGGGGTATGTTTCTGCAAAAAGTTAATAGAGATACATTTGTTAATTTGCGATAGTAAATAGATAAAATTTTTTGCTATTAACCCTAATTTGCGATAGTAAAGGAAATGAAACTAGTTATAACAGTTCAGATGAATTGAGATGGAATTTTCAAATTAAAATAATGATGAGACGATTAGTTATATGGGAAACGATTTTCACTATTAATTCAATGTGGTATTACAATTCTATTAACTAACTCTAATAAAAATGAGAATTTAACCGGCTGAGTTTGACGGGAAGCATACGTTACTTATATGGGGGGTTTAGTTTTACTATGCAAAAAGGCGACACGCCAAACAAGGGACTGATGAATTTTGGTAGACAGCACACCGCACTGGTGGTGAATACTAGCTATATATATATATATTAACCTTTGTGTAAATCTTCTGGTTACATTCTTTTCGCGCATCCCATCATAAGGGACCTTGAAATTTGCATATGACGGCATCCCATCATAAAGGGACATGACATGAGTTCGTTTGCTTGTAGATTTTACATCAAGGATTTTGGATCAAAATCTAAATCCATGGGATTATGCACAAAGTTCATGTTTGTTGTTAAAATGATGTTGAATTATGGTTTATGGACCCCACGCATGTGGGATTATTTTGGTGTCAAAATCCGTGGGGTCGACGGATTATAAAATCTTACCCATTTGATTGGGATTTTGTGGGAGACTAAAATCCATAATGGTAAATGACAAGTCTATCTTTATCTCTTTCCAATTTTCCTATATGGAACCTTAATGACACAAATCATTAAGAATACAATTGTAAATTCATCCTATAATTAATAAATCCCAAGGACAAAAGTCCAATATGAAATCCAACAAACAAACAAGAACTTCTTAAAATCCTACACAAATCCAAAGTGACAAAATCCCACATAATCCTTCAATCATAAAATTCAAAATTTTACCTAAATCCTTCATTTTTTAAATCCAAGATTTTTTAATTCTCATCCCCTTCCTAATTCACTTCTGCTTTACAAAACCGTACTGAACCATGCATAACCATTTAAAGGTTATTTAGATTAATGTCACTACTCACTATTGTTACTTCTTCCCCAAAACAAAGAAAATCTGTTATAGGAATTGGGGGTAAAAGAGTGGGCAAAGATGAGTGGGGGGAAGATATCGATAATGAGGTGGTCACCTCCACCACCGACTGCACAGAGCACACAATTATACGATTCATCATCACCACAAAACCTGACCGACCGATCGAGGATTTTGCATATTCATGATACGAGTTTTGCCTAATTGGCTCCAGACCAGCTTCGCACCCCAAAATGGACGCTGTTTCCATGGCCCATAAATGCAATGTGATTTAGTTGACAATTAATTGATTTTATACACATGGTTTACCGCTATATATATACAAATTTGTTGAGAGGAACATAGGTACATATAAGAAAATGCTATACAATTAATGCATACTATAACTAACCATTTTTCAATGACTCCGCTTATTGAATGCAATGAATGTTGTCAGGTGATTCCAATCATAATTCAGTTGATGTTAGCTATGGAAATCTTCAAATCTGTAGGAGCTTAGGATATCATACTACATTACCCTTTCTTTCATACCTTATTTTGTCTTGAACTATTATCATATAATTAAATTTAGCCCGTGGTTTCATAAATTAACATTCTGGCCTTAACTATGCAACATATAGATTTAATTGGCCCGACACATGGTTTGACCGTCCAATTGGACGGTCAACACCGTTGACCGTTAGTCAACACGCCATGTCATTGCCTCGTCAGTCTAAAAATTATTAAAAATTTCAAATTATTTTCCTAATTTGTATTATTTATCATTATCAAATTAAACAAAAAATAAAATTATAAAAAATATATATTAAATTTTATTTTTTGTGTAATTTTAAAAATGATAAATTTTATAAATTGACCAAAAATTATCAAATTATTTTATATTTTATATTTTGGTTAATTTGAAAATGATAAATAATAAAAATTAGAAAAATAATTTAAATTTAAATTATTTTTAATGATTTTTAAGCTGACATGCGCGTGTTGACTAACGGTCAAGAGTGTATGTGTCGGGCCAATTGACACTATATGCTGCATAGTTGAAGACAGGATGTTAATTTCTGAAATCACAAACCAAAATTGATTATATAATCAATATTCGGGCAAAATAAGATACTAATCTATAGCTCAAACAAATTATACCAACAGAATACTAACCGTTGGTTTAGAAAACGGGAGGATGAGATACGGTCTGATCCGGTTAAATTGGACCAAATTGATCCGGTTCCAGTCCGGTTTTTTTGGAATATAAGGACCAAAGATTGGATTGGATACAGTCCGGTCTTGATTCGGTCCGGTCTCAATTTGATCTTGATTTTAGGTGTTGGGGGTCTCTTATCCGGTCTTTATCTAGTTTTTTTACCTCAAATCTAAGCCCGAATATGAGATTGGATTGTTTGCTATCCGGTTCCAATCCGGTCCCGATCCGGGTTATACAGTACGGTTTCGGGAAAAACCAAATAGTCCATGACCAAATAGCCAGCCCTATAAGTTTCTTTCTTCTTTCTCGCTTAGTAGGCCCCACGAGCCTCACTCCGCAGCCCCATTATTATTATTATTTATTTTTTCTTCCTCAACTTTATCGATCCTATTGCTCTGTCCAAGTGTGGCTTAATTGCTCCCTATAAATAGCCACTCTATGGCAATCGTCTTCTCCATCACAAACTTGCATTCAAATCGCTATCTCGATCTTGCTATATATATATACACTCTGCTTCTTTCACTTACTATTATTTCCTGCTTCCCTTGGCGGGGTTTGCAATTCACAGTTGCCCTTTTTCCACGTCCCAATGGCCACCGTCGAGGTACGTATACTATAGAATCTCTACCACATGCAGTTTTTACAATACAGAAAGAAATGATATGCCACAACGTCGTAACGTGCCATAAAAAATATGTAGGAATTAACTTAATGGGAGCATCAATCTCTAGTAAAGCTTATGTGTGTGTGTGTGTGAACTGAAAATTCAGGTTGTATCTGCTCAAACCGCATTCCAGGAGGAGAAATTTGAGGAAGTAGTGGCGGTCGAGGTTCAGAAGGAGCCCGCTGCTGCTATTATTACCACCACAGAAACTACCGACGACGACCCAAAGGAAGAAGAGGACAAGGATGAAGAGGAGACAGCGGTCCTCGCTGATAAGGAAGTTGCGGTGGCACCACTGCCGGCAGAAGAAGTTGAAGTAGAAGTCGTACTACTCGAGACTACTAAACAAGTTGTAGAAGGAGAAGAAGAAGAAGAAGTCAAAGTCAAAGAAGCTGCTGTCCCGGAGGAAATTACTACTCCTACTCCAACTGAAGAGGAGGTCAATGCAGAGGAGCCAGCCGCCGCACCGGAGCCGGGGGCGGCAGCGGAGGTCGAAGCCTCTAAAGTGGAAGATGAGGAAGAGAAGAAGGTTGATGATGACGAGAAGGCCGCCGACGCCGAGTGAATCATTAATATGAGCTATAATTAGTATTTGCTTTTTGGGTTTTGTTATTATTCATAATAAGTCATGTGGTAATCTGTGTACGTCTTTTTGTTTCTCCTCCAGCTTGGATGGGATCCATTCCATGTGTTCTGCCGACATGGGTGTTTACCACGTGGCGAACATGCATTGGGTAGAAGCAGACTCTGCATCTCTGTCCAATGTACGTAAGTGGGGTGGGTCCTAAGTATGAGTTCGAGCTGTTAGTCTCGTGAATTTTCCGGTGCTGTGTTGTGTTATGTTATGTGTAATAATAATAGTGATAATAATATATATACATCATGCAATCGTTGTTTGATAATAAGAAATTGGGTCGCATCTTAAATGGTTTGATCATTTACGCGCGCTTCGAGGTTGAATGTGATTATTATAAAATATGGTCACACCAAAAAATATGTTTATTATCTGAAGACTACTCCCTATCAGCCGATCAGGGTCTCTACACATTGTTGTCTCTACACATATCCGTTTACTTTTGCAAATTAATAAACGTACTCAACTTTACTATTTTTTTGCACGTGTGTACACTTCTAGTATTAAAACGTAACGAACATATCCTTTCGTCTAATTTTCCGTTGAAGAACTTAGATTGTATAAAGACCTAATTGGCCCTCATTAACTCCTAATTTTGATTGAATTATTTTTTGTTAAATAACCTATAAACTCTCAAGTTTCTCTACGACAGGACAGGTAGATGTTTGGTCTTCCTCAAGTCGGCCATCAAATCCGGCACTGGTAAAAGACGGCGGCGGGGGCAGGTTCGGATGGTTTCTACACGATTGACGATTTGGTGAATCGACTGCGCCAACCTCTTCTCCTCCGATTGTGCCTTCGACAGCCTGCCCAGCTTCCCAATCAATCAACATCCTTTAATTTTGTCGATCAATCCTCTTTTATTTCCCTTTTTCGTTTTTGTGTAAATATTGTGGGAACCCAAATTTGAAGAAGTCTAACCTCCAACGTAACCACATAGAACCAATATTCATATTTATCTTCTCTCGCATTCGCTAGACAATAAACATTACAACATCAATTGATTTCGTTTTAAGGACACAATAGCTTACACCTCAAGACAATTCCAACACAGTAGAGTGGATGGGTAGCAGGTTAGCGGCCGAGTACAGGGTGGCCGGAGTCTCTGACGCCGGTTGCCAGAAGCACAGACGGAGATGATCGCGTTGCCAACTGCTGGGAGAAGAGGGTCGCGTCACCAATTGTTGTTCATCGGAGATCGAGCGCCACCTTTGTGTGTTTGTGTGGAGAAGAGCCGTGTAGAAACCCTCCTGCCCGCCGAGCCTGCTCCCGCCGCCGTCGTTTACCAGTGCCGGATTTTGATGGCCGACTTGAGGAAGACCAAACATCTCCCTGGCGTAGAGAAACTTGGGAGTTTGTAGGTTATAACTTTTAATTAATTTGGTTAGGAATAAAAAATAATTAAATTGAAATTAGGAGTTAATGAGGAGCAATTGGGTCTTTTTACAGCCCATTAGACGGTCATTTAACAAAAAATTAGACGGAAGGGTATGTTCGTCACGTTTTAATACTAGAAGGGTACGCTCGTGCAAAAAAGTTAGAGGGGTACGTTTGTTAATTTGCAAAAGTAGAGGGGTACAATATGCTATTAACCCATGAATTAAACATGTCGAAACAAACTTCTACTTCATTCGTGTGCATGTTTGTCCTACAACATTGCCCGTTTTAAAGTCATAGATCGAGCCATTGTCCCCACTTATGCCTCCAGGTTTTGTAGTGAGGCTTAGTGGTTTTATTTTCCCGCTTCTAAGGCACCAAACCTTTAGTTAGGATCCACTATACATATAAAAGGTGTTAAACCCAAGATTCGCCTAATGAAAATTTCCAACGATTTTCTCTAGTCAAGACATCTCGTGCTTATGTTGATGAAGTGACTCGACATTTGCTTGTTGTTGTGGAGGGACTCATGGGTAGGATTTTCTAGATGCTTGTCCTTGGAAGGCAACATCAAATTCCAACTAGGAGGAGAGCATCGCCAACCGTCAATCCGGGAATTATAAAAGCTATGGATATTTACCTGACAGGTTTCATTGAATCACCGGATGCGTTTGCCACCTTGACAAGGGAATCCGACTTCCCATGTTTCAAGTCCTTCTATGAATATGAAGTCAAGAAATTCGACGTTCAACCAAGGGATGTCAAGCTATCAATGGCTAGTGTGGTGAAACCAGAGTGGCGGCTCATCCACCATGTAATTGCTAGGTTCGTGGGTGGAAAGAACCAAAGCAAAGGCAATTTGACTACCCGAGACCTCACTTTCTTCCAAAGCATGAACCTACCTTATTCTCTTCACCTCGGTTTTGCCATCTTGTTCATCTTCAAGCTTTATGAAGAAGATCATCGACTCATTGCGCTTCATGGAGGAGTTTTTGTCACCCGTCTTGCTAAGTATTTTCAAGTAGACTTTGGGGCCGTGCAATTTCGGTGAGAAAGTAGGACTAATCTTATATCCTTTGACGTCTTGAAGTCGAGAATCAAAGCGTTACAAATGAATGACGATGGAATTTGGGGAGTGCATGGACTTTCATTTCCAACTACTAACACGTTGGACATAGAGGGTATCGTGTTCCTTCTTTCGGAAGCTACGGCGGTAAGAGGGCGAAGAGGACTAGTCAACAAGGAAGAACAAGTGGGATGCATGTACGAGGGTGTAGAGGCTCCTACATCCACTTCTCATCCAGTTCCACAGACGTTCAACAATGCAAGGGATTACTGAATCCAAGCGAGGATAACAGTGATCTTTCACAATTAAAGGAGGGAGAAGGAAGCACGACTCAACATCATGGTGTGCATCCATGCTGTAATGGAAAAGATGGATATTAAGATCAAAGATGTATTGCCCCAACCTGCTCGCTCCCCTCCCCTTGCACCATTTCAAGAAGAAGGACCCTCCGAGGAGGATTACATACTAGGCACCCAGGGCCTAAGTTCTATATTTTCTTTTTCTTTGCTTTTCTTTCTTTTCATTTTAAACAATGTTTAATTACTGCTTTACTTTCGTTTACTTCGCGTACTTTAAATATTCTAGTACTAGTAGTAATCGTACTTTATATTATCTATTTATCGTGCCCATAACTGTGAATCATCTTCCTCTCTTTTTTATGCGCTTTATCGTTGTGAAAATCACCAGGAAGACAAAGACCTACACTTGTGTACCTATACTTGTGTACCTACACTTGTGTACCTTCACCAACCCTACACTTGTGTACCTATACTTGTGTACCTACACTTGTGTACCTTCACCAACCCGCAACCCAACCTATGGTAACCTTTATGATCTTCTCCTTCGAAACTCCAACGTTGAGAACAATGTGTTGCTAGAGTGTGTGGATGTGGGGGGCGGGGGATGTTTGTGAATTCTTGAATAATTCATGATTGATTGAGACATAGATTGTGACACGTCCCGTCTCTTTTCAAAAACCAAACCATAACTCAAACCAAAAACCGGTTACTCCGGAGCAACCCAAACCAAATTTTAAAATAAACCAATTGACATCATTTAAGAATTTTTAACGAAAAGCCCCAACACTTGGGCAAAATTCTCAATCTCAAACACTTAAAACGACTTAACACAGAATCTCCAGTTTATACTAATAACCATTAAACAAAATAATTAACTAATCTAACTTGATTCCTCACGAGCTTTCCGACATTCCGTCAACGCTGGTACTGCTGCTCGCCTCGCCCTGCTTCTTCTCGCTGGGAAAAGGATTGCCGGTAGGCTCGGTGGGAAAAGGAACTGGCGGCGGGGCAACTTGCAGAAGGGGAAGGGTTTTTGGGAAATCTCTACGTGGGGGAAAACAATTAATGGTGGCGAAATATTAGGGCGGGGGTTTGGATTAATGAGGGCCGCTTGGTCCTTTCGGGCCTTTTTTTTATATATATATAATTATAGTAATAATAATAATAATAATAATAATAATAATAATAATAATAATAATAATAATAGTTATTATTATTATTCCCAATCTGCGGTTATAACTCTTAGTACGTAACCGTCAACCCAACCGATCACGTATTAAGGTCGAACCTAAATCGAAAGTATCGGGGTGTTATATTTCCTCCACCCTTACAAAAATTTCGTACCCGAAATTTGCTCGCAACTCATCCTTCTATCAACACCCTTCTTATACTTCATTCCCACGATCATCTACTCTTAACATAACAACTTCGTTGGTACCTTTTGCTCAAATAAGTTTCCTTAGCTTGCAACACTCGTGTAACCATAAGTGTCTCACTGCCCTTTTTACTTCCCAGCTTGATCCAACATGGTGAAACAAAATGTCAATTCGGCTTGTCATGTTGATCCAATTCTCCTGGTAGTTGATGTTGAACCTAAATCCAAAATCGAGACATCACATTTCCCCCCTCCATAAAAAAAATTTCGACCTCGAAATTTGTTCGTTGTGACGACTCCAAGTTTCACTTGTGATAATCTCTTTGCAAGGAGTGGTACCTCCTTCTAGCCTTGATGTATTGATCCCATGACATCTTGTTAGGCTCCCTATGATATACTTAGTTCTTCCTTTGCTTGCTTAGGTGGCCCTAGTATTTTTCAAAGTCTAACTTTCAGCTGCTCCTTGGGGGTTGTAGCCCTATGTTCAATTCTCCTGAACTCCACGACCCTTCCTTGCACCCTTTCCTCTCGGTTATGGCGACATTTGCCACAACTCCTTGGCTCTACCAGTCGATGTACTAACTGCTTGGCTCCTTCCGGAACCTTATTCCGATCAGCTCACATCCCCATAGAATATGAGCTACCTTGACCCTCCTCTTCTCACTCATGAAGGGGTTTCACTAAACGATCCCTCTAGGAACATGCTCCTTCTCCTTCCCAAGACGTATCATAACCTCATAGGGCATCCTAAAGTTATTTCCTCATCATGATTAGAGTATACTGGAGATTCTAAAATTTCCGAAAGACTCTGACTCATTTGGCCAAACTTTTAACTGACACTCCATTTTTCCTTTCCTTTTAAAAACTGAAACCTTAAAAAAAATGCAGATCGTCACTCCAGTATTCCTTGGAGGCCAAAGAACAGATGAGTGTCGGCTCTGATACCAAAATGACATGTCCCGTCTCTTTTCAAAAACCAAGCCATAACTCAAACCAAAAACCGGTTACTCCGAAGCAACCCAAACCACATTTTAAAATAAACCAACTGACATCATTTAAGAATTTTTAACGAAAAGCCCCAACACTTGGGCAAAATTCTCAATCTCAAACACTTCAAACGACTTAACACATAATCTCCAGTTTATACTAATAACCATGAAACAGAATAATTAACTAATCTAACTTGACTCCTCACGAGCTTTCCGACATCCCGTCGACGCTGGTAATGCTGCTCGCCTAGACCTGCTTCTTCTCGCTGGGAAAATGAATGCCGGCAGGCTCGGTGCATCGGCGGATCCAGGGGAGGGCCACACTGGGCCCGGGCCCAGCCCTCCTGGAATCCTGGCCTGTTAGAGAGGCTCTGCTTTCAGCATTCTCAATACTTTGGGCCTAGCCCTCTCTACCCATTAAATAAAAAATCCAACTTTAAAAGACCAAAAGTCCAAAACCCAAATTTCAATTAATCTCTCTCGCCCATCATTTTTACCTGCCGCCAAAAAAATCAAAGGGAAAAGGATCCCATTCTTTGTCTGCGGCTCTGCGCGCCATCCGCACTTTTCGCTGCTCCGGCAAAATAATCAACAAGTTTTTGTTGTGACGCTGCTTGCCTACACAAAAGATGACCAGCAGCCTAGCTCCCAACGAACCCAGCCTCCCATTTGTCGTCCTATCTCTTCTGTGGTTGGATAATGGTTAGTTGCTTAAGAGATATAAATGACTAATTTTGTGCATTAATGTAAACATTCAGATTTGGTTTTTCTCGTATATCGTCTCGTGTAATATTTATATCCAATTCTATTTAGAAGCTACTCGATTTAGTTCTTATTAAAACATGTATTCAACGTGTTATACATGCATATATGTATTTTATACGTGAAGGATCACAAATAAAATTGTTAAGTGCTATTTCATTCATATATATCTATCATAAATAATTCATCATATTTCTTGTTGTTTAATGTTAACCAAGTTTATAATTATTTCAACGGAAGTGCGAAAGTGTTGCAATATTGTTATTTCATTGATAGTTTATTAAAAGAATGATAGTTTTTCTTCCAACGTCTAGGCACGCTTAGGCGACCCCTAGACAAGATAGTTGTTAGGCAGGAACCCAATGTCTTCTATGTTTAGCGCTTTCTTGAACCTTGGTTATTATATTTTATTTACGGTATTTAATTTTCTATGCAAATGCGGCCCAGTGCCCTACTGTATCCTGGATCCGCCGCTGGCTCGGTGGGCAAAGGAACTGGCGGCGGGGCAACTTGCAGAAGGGGAAGGGTTTTTGGGAAATCTCTACGTGGGGGAAAACAATTAATGGTGGGGAAATATTAGGGCGGGGGTTTGGTATTAATGAGGGCCGCTCGGCCCTCTCGGGCCCCTTTTTTACTTTTATTTATATATATATATATATATGGTGACTACTTCGGCGCACTCACAAAAATGAGTGCGTTCAATGCACTCAACTCAAAAACTAGTCTTAAGTAGTCGGATTTTGAATTTTAATTTGTAGAATTAGTATAATATGATGATATAACATATGATAACAACTAATTAGCGGATTACCCTGAGCCCTAGACCTCCAATTTTGAGTTCTATCCCTAAACCCCAAACTGTAAACCCTAACCCTAACCCTAGATCTTTAAACTCTAAATCCTTCAAATTAAAGCAAATCTTTCATGGTTTTTGTGCAAATTCATGTGCGTTATTGTTCATCACATCATAAGTGATGATTGACATCATTTTGACATAAATCTCATGTTTAAAATGACGATTATGAAGCGAGTGCACTGAATGCACCCAAAAAAGTGAGTGCACCGAAGACACCACATATATATATATATATATATATATATATATATATGTGGATAAACCCCAGGCACCGATTTTCTAAACCCCAACCCGAAGTTTGATTTAATGAAAAACAAAAATTGACCGTTGAGATCGGCCGGAGCTCATCTAAGTACATCTAACGGCTAGATCACCTGGCATATAGTATACGCCTGACGTACACCAGTCATCACCATATATATATATATGTATATGTAAAATTATAGTAATAATAATAATAATAGTTATTATTATTATTCCCAATCCGCGGTTATAACTCTTAGTACGTAACCGTCAATCCAACCGATCACTTATTAGGGTTGAACCTAAATCTAAAGTATCGGGGTGTTACAGATTGCTAGTATCGTTCCTTGTTTGTGAATGTAAGACATTGATGAATGCTTATGGGAGTGTATGCTACCAATTGTGTGTGTTTGTGGTGTTGGTTGACCAAATGATAGTGTTTTGGAACCTTGAATGCATTACCCAATTCTTTTTCATATTTGAGGGATCCAAATGACCTTGCTCCATGAAATTCCCTACTCGATGTGCTTTAAATTGGTAGATGATTGATATGTTGTGCTCGTTAGGGAGTAGTTGCATGATTAGAGTACCGGTGTATGAGGGATTTTACTCTCTTCTTCGTGTTTGATGAGTTGATAATGTCTGCTATTTTAGGAAGAACATGTGTGAGGGATTCTCTATAATTTTTTTACTAAAAAATCTTCTAAATGAGGTTCTCACGTAAGAGGCAACCGAACCTCAAGGTTCATAGTTCTCTTTGAGGATATGTTTGGGGAAAGTATGTCAAGGTACAAATTACTTTTTAGCGATCCAGGACACCTCAAAGCTCTCGTTTGTACCCAACATGTATGGACACCCAATGTGGAGTGCATGCTAGGAAGTGGTGCTCTGAATAATATGAATTCGCCCATAAACTTCCCCACATGTATTCTTGAAAGGGAAGGCAATGATCCATCCGCTCTTGGTCGCGAGGGAGAGATGCTAGCTTGCAAGAAGACTTGCAAAAAGATTGGTGCAATGCGCGTCAACATAGAAAAATGAGACCAATAAACGAAAACTCCTAAATCGAAAGAAAGAACAAAGAGCACCCCAAGAGTTCTTGTGCTTATTCGATGATTGAGAAGTCTCCCGATGCACACCCTGAATGTTCGGCCTAAGGTAGTAAGTATGGTCCGCATCCAAGGGTTTTTGCGTGCATAGTAAGATAATAGTAATGTTTTGTTGTCTTCGCCTACTCTTCTTTATGCAATGAAGAACTAGAGTGCATCCCACCTTCCAGCTCCACTTTTCGGCCACTCTCCGCTTTTGACTTGAAACCCGTTCCCAAGAGATGACACAAGATACTATTCTACTCGCGAGTAAGCATGTCGAGGAAGTCAGGCATTGTCCTGCAACAAATAGAACACACATTTGCCATAAATGGAAGCAAGGTCAGAGATGAGAAACATGCTAAGACGCACTTGGAGTCTTCCAATCAAAAGATTTGGACAGTGGACTAGGCTCCAAGCGGCCATTCACATTCAAACAACCAGATTGATTCTCCACAATTGATGAACATCAAACCTAGGACCCTAAGCATGCAAGATCAATAGGCCTCCTAAATCAATTCAATTCAAGCACAAATCTCATATTCCTCACCTAGAACCCTAAGTATTAATTCTCCAAAATTATAAAAGATAAGAAAACAATCACACCTGGAGAATCAATTAGATACATAGGGGAAGATGAGAAGAAGATAAAGAAACAAAAAATCACAGGAAAAGCAGCCCGCATACTCGCTGGAGGCTTGCCATAGTTTCACTGACGACGACCTCAAACGACTCCACACACACCCAAATTTATGGGGAATGGGTGCCCGACTCCAAGAATCCGTGGGTGGTCGCTGTTTTGTGTATGGAGGTCGGGAGAGGGAAATCGGGCCAAAATACCGTTGGAATTGGGAGGTTTTCAATGATTTTTGGCAGAGAAAAAGGGAAACACGACCGTGAATGAGGGGGAGAGAGAAACACGACAATTATCACTTAAATAGGGACAGAGGAAAACACGATCGTATTTCTTGGCCAAGCGCCCATGTTTTTACAGCCGCCCTGAGAAAGGAGAAGGATGCAAACACGGACGACCACGATCATAAACATGTCATGTTTCCCAGCTGTGGTGCCTGTGGTTTTATAATCGAGAGTGTCGCGCCCGTGTTTATTGTGTCCAGAAGCCAAAGATCGCGACCGCGATCTTAGAAGCGCAGGGCGTGAATTCACATGGAGGGACTTCAGAAGATCCCGCCCGCGATCTCCCAGCCTTAGAATGCGAACTTTCCCAAGTCTAGAATGCCTACACTACAAAAAAGACTGGCAGATGTTACCAGACGATTGGCGTCACAAAAGGCCTATTCTCGTCACTAAAAGTTTTTTCTGACGAAATATGGTCGTTAGCAGGTCGTGGGGTAAAGGTCCGTGGGTAATAGTCCAAAAAAAAATTGGCGTCATAAAAATATTTTTTGTGAAGATAAATTATCCTCAAAACCCAATTTATCGTTGTCGGAAAAGAAATACCCTTGAGGAAAAAAACTTGACGAAAATTTTTTGTGAGAGAGGAAAAACTATTCCAATTTTTGCCCTCAAAAAATAAAATTCAGGAATTTTCCCCTCCTTTTCGGCATCAGAAAAACATATTATTTCTGACGCCTATTTCAAATTGGTCATAAATAATTTGTATTTGTGACAAAAGTTGAAATGTTCTCAGTAAAAGTGAGATGGTGTTCCTCGTATTTGCGAAATTGATTTTTAGCGACGAAAGTTTTGGACATTATTGATGAGTATTGATGTTTGTCACAAATAATTTACGTTTTTATGAGGACGACAAATTTTTGTCACAAAAAAGGTTATTTCCAACCAAAAAACAGTGTCGTCAGAAGAATTTCGTCACTTCTGCCTGTCTTTTTTGTAGTGCTATAAATAGAATACCTATTTCCCCATTTTAAGATAGCTGAATTTGAGATAAATTTTCTGGTTATAGAGAGAGAGAAGAGAGAGAAGCTGAAGGAAGGAGAAGAGAAGGAGGATCTTCCCCAACTTCTAGTTTTGTTCTATTTCTACTATGTATCTTCTTCCCTCCTTTATGGAGTAGTCTTCTAAGGTACTAGGGGTTCTAAACCCCAAACCCTAGTTTTAGGGTTTACTTTGTATATATAGATGTTTTAGGGTTTGAATGAATGAATGTGTTTGCCTAGTTGATTTTAATGCCACTCTTTCCAAAATGATGATGCTTGGGCAACTGGACCCAATCTTCCCTCTTAGACTGCTTTATGCTACCGCGCTGGGTATGGAGTTCTAGGGTTAGACGGGTATGTGCCATCCGGCGATTTTGGGTTAGATGTGTGAATGGGGGCCTATAGTGGTCGAGGCGACCATACCCTTACTATAGGTGGCTTTCCTAGGTGAAACCCGGGATAAAACCTCGTTGTGCACGGTGGATACTCTCCATTGAAATGAGCCATATACTTAATGCCCCAGATAGATATCCTATATCGAGGTGACTGGAACATGGGTTTAGGGGAGGCGTACTCGTAGGCATGTGGATAACGACGAAGACCCACGGAAAAGAGCTCACTCACCACATTTGATGACCCTAGATATCTATATATGCATAGTTACCCTAAGCTAGGGGGGAAGATTAGTCCCTGAAGTACCTGATTTTAGCTTTGATCAATCCTTAGACTAGATTTTCCTCATATTCTCCACTCAAAATCTCAAAAATCGATTAACTAATTAGCAACTAGGTGGGAAGTAGGCTAGGGTACAGGGACTCAGGTAGAATACGACCTTGATTACCACTATATGGCAATGTCGTTCTAGGTTAAACTAGGTCTAGGATGGGGTAGTTGTGGATACGTGCAAACTTTTGACAAAAACTTGCACGGATTGAAGTGATCATTGAGCCTCGACTTCTTGTGTGGAGGTCCAAGTAGTTCGAGAACTCCATTGATATTGGAGGATCAGAGCCATTGCCACTTTGAAAGGACTAACCTTTGAAGGTTTGCTACACACAATAACAAACGATACCCATCCATGCTAAACTGAATTTATAAATTATTAATGAGTGCAATGAACACTTCTAATCATCCCTAGAATCCAATCACATACACCTCCACACTCAATGTCATGGCCAAGGGCAAGAGATAAACTAAGTGACTAAGGTAAGGCTATGGGTCGATTGCTCAAAAATCATTTTGATTCGGGCTTAGTTACACATATTTTAGCCCTCATTTCTAAATTGTTTGACTTCGTTATCATCGTACCTCGACCTATTTTATGCTAGATTGTGCTTCTTTTGTCACATTTCAGGTCCTAGTACATATGCGAAGGTCCAAAATGAGTTTCGGGTCATTCGAAGTCAAAACGAGCCAAAAAGTGGATGATGAGGACTGTTCACGGGTTGGAGGCAAATGTCATGCCTTGTGACCGTGAAAATCACCCTCAAGGAGTGAAGTACAAGACTTCAAGAATTGGACTCATTTATCAAGATCCCGAGACCATGATAATCGCCTCCAGACCGTGAAGTGGCCAAATTCCAGAAGCCATTGCGCACCTCACTAGACCCCAAGTATTTCACGTTCCTAGACGATTTTTTGGAGAAGATTTTCATTCTCTCTCTACGGTTTCGATACAAAACACCAAAGGGGAGTTCTAGTGAGATAGATAGAGTTCTTGAGTGATCTTGGAGCTTAATTGAAGGTATTGATCATGCTTGATGTTGAGCTATAAGGATTTTTTCCTCGAGATTGTCCTCCAACAAAGTTGGCTTGCTCGAATTGTAGTGAATCCTCGATCATAGACTTACACTCTTCCGTAGTATGACTTGAGTCGCCACACCAATCACATTTCATAAGTTGCTTCACATTTCTCTTCATTGATGATGCAACTTGATCAATTTTCTTGGTAAGTTCTTGAATATGAGCCGCTAACGATGATGGTTCTTCGACCTTCAATAAATTTTCCTTCTTCATGCTCTTGCCTCTCCTTCCATCACCCCCAATCAATCTTTGAAGTTCTCCGACTTCTTTGTTCCTAATGGCACCTCCACTAGCTCCATCAATGAGGTTTCGTGACTCCTTTGTCAAAAAATTATAAAATCTTTCCACTTGTAACCAATCGGCGAAGGCATGGTGTGGGCACTTGAGTAAGAGAGATGTAAACCTTTCCCATGATTCGAACAATGGCCCATCCTCTTATTGACGGAAAATAGTAATCTCACTTCTCATTATAGTCGTCTTAGAAGGTGGAATATACATTTCTAAGAATTTGTTGCATACATCCCCCCATGATGTAATGGAGTGATGTGGTTGATATTCAACCATTGTTTGGCCGCTCCATTCAAGGTAAACGGAAATAACCTTAGGCAAATAGTCGCTTGAGGAACCCCATTCACCTTGATTCCATTTGTCAACTCATAAAAAGACTTGACGTGTGCGTGAGCATTTTCACTCATCATCTTACTGAATTGAATTGCATTTTGAAGCATTGAAATCGTGCACGCCTTTATCTCATAGTCGTGGTTGGGAACCGTTGGATGAAGAATAGGTGATTGAACACTATCCACACATGTCCTAGAGTAAGAGCTCATTATTCTTTGTCTTGATTGAACTTGAGCTTGTTGATCCACCATTGGTGGAGATTGAGGTCTTGCAACTCTTCTCATATTCAGAAAGGTTCTCTCGATTTATGTATCAAGAGGTAATATCTACAAAGAATCCCTTCTTCGCATACAAAAGTGCTACAAAACACAAACTCAAAAACCGGTGACGTACGAAGTTGGATAACAAAACACAAGACGAAACAAACACGAAAACAACAAAACACAAATAAAAGCTAAAAAAAACCCACGAAAATAACGAGACTCAAACAAGAACACAAACAAGAACGTAAAACAAAACCAATAAACAAAAACAAAGTAAAGACTAAACTAACTAATTAATGGTTTTCTACTAGTTACCAAGGGTCCCCGGCAACGGCGCCAAAAAGCTTGATCACATTCATCCATGTAGATTATTGTCAATGGTAAGTACGTGTCAACAACTACCCCATCCTAGGCCAAGTTTAACCTAAGATTGCATTATTGTATAGTGGAAATCAAGGTCATATTCTACTCGGGTCCTGGTACCCTAGCTTACTTTCCACCTCGTCGTTATTAGTCGATCGGTTTGAGGGTTTATATGGAGGATTTGAGCGAATTAACTAGTCTAGAGATTGATAAAGCTAAAAGCAGGTACTTCGGGGAAATATCCCTCACCCTAGTCTAGGCTTACTATGTATCTAGATACTTAGAGTTTATCGAATGTGGTGAGTGAGCTCTTTTCCATGGGCTTTCGTGGTTATCCACACTCCTCCGCGTACGGCTCCCTTAAACCCACATATAGTCCCCTCGATCTATAATATCGTATCTAGGGCATTAAGCTCGTAGCTCTTTTCAATTGTTATTACCCATCGTACACACCGAGGTTTCATCCCGGTTTCTATCTAGGAAGGCTACCTATGGTAGTGGTTCGGTCGCCTCGACCTACCAAAGGTCCCTATTCATACATCTAACCTCAATTTGCTTAATGGCGCATACCCATCTAACTCTAAAACTCCAAACCCAGCGTAGAAGCATAAAGTCGGCTAGTAGAGAAGATTAGGGCGACTTAATCAAACACAATCAAAGATAAAATAGCAATAATATCAACTAGATAAACACATTCATTCATTCAAACCCTAAAATCCATACATACGTAGTAAACCTTAAAACTTGGGCTTGGGGTTTTGACCCCTAGTACCTTAGAGGACTACTCCATAAAGGAGGGAAGAGGATACATAGAAGAAATTGAAGAAGTCTTGAGGTTTAGGAAGATGACTCCTCTCCTCTAGCTCCTTCTCCTTCTTTTCCTCTTTTCCTTC